CAATTTAAAATGTTATTATATCTAACTTAAAAATTATATAATTTATAAAAAATTTTTGCAACTGAAAGAATTATATGGTTTACAACTGATTTATCCCGTTTTTAATCTTATATTAAGAAGCGAACCAAAACCACTTATTTAAACCAGTTACTGAAATGGACATTTGCTTTTTGCATTTTCTTTGGTTATATTAAGAAATTTAGAACATATATTTATAGCAAGTTAACAACCACATGCACTGTAAATGGACCTCAAATATTTGGTCATGCCTCTCATTTATTCATCAAACAATTTTCGGTGTGTTTTCTTCTTGAACGTCTGAAAATAGCTGGCAATTACTTTGACTAATTTGACCATTATTCGCTTGGGGTGTGTGTTTTTTTAATCGTATTTGTCGTGCGCATAAAATACTTTTTTTCTCTCTCGATTTTAAGGTTTTACTTTGACTAATACAGACTGACTCGCATCGTACATTTAACTTTAGTGAGTGAGTCTTCCAGCAGAGATTGTTTGTTTATTTAAACGATATCAAATGTTTACCACTTAAAACACAATATATTATACAAAAATTATAATTAAAAAACTTAATATTTGTAATAAAATTACTCTTATTCATTATCAGTGTGTTACTAAAAATCTTTATTATTATTGTTTGATTTTTTTATACATTTAAATCCTAAAATCTAAAATACTAACTTCTCTATCTTAAATTGACTCTACATTATAAATCTTAAATCTTAACTAATACATGTAAAATTAAAATAAATAAACTTAGTTTATACAAGCATATATATTTTTTGGTTGAAAACAGGTGAAAGGGGCCGCCTAGCTACCCGTTATATCAGCTAATAACAATTCCTCAGCTTCCTTAGGGTAATTTTGCATAAATATTGTGTCTTCCTGATGCTTCCACATCTGTTTGACAACAAAGTCAGCAACACGATTGGCCTCTCTTGGTATGTGCTTCAGATCAACCACCCAATTTCTCCTTAATAGTTTCTCTCAATGTGTGAGTAACTTTTTATTTATTTATTGTGTAAACTTTTATCTACTTAAATTTTAAATCTTAAATTTTATAATTTTTTTTTTCCATTAATTTGAGTAAGTAAAATGTATTATCTGTTCAATATAACTTTCTAGCTACCCGTTATATCAGCTAATAACAATTCCTCAGCTTCCTTAGGGTAATTTTGCATAAATATTGTGTCTTCCTGATGCTTCCACATCTGTTTGACAACAAAGTCAGCAACACGATTGGCCTCTCTTGGTATGTGCTTCAGATCAACCACCCAATTTCTCCTTAATAGTTTCTCAATGTGTGAGTAACTTTTTATTTATTTATTGTGTAAACTTTTATCTACTTAAATTTTAAATCTTAAATTTTATAATTTTTTCCATTAATTTGAGTAAGTAAAATGTATTATCTGTTCAAATATAACTTTCAACCATTTGATATTGAATGCTCACGCCTTGACATTCATGATTCTCAAACCCATAATTTAAAAGAATAACAACAATTCATTTACTACCGATATCACTTGATTCATATTATATCCTAAATTTTAAATCTTGTTATATGTTATATTTACAGCGGGGATAGGATTTTACAGCGAAGAAGATGATAAACCACCCCTAGTGCCCTACATTAAAACTTCTTTTATACCCACGTTTAAAGCTGTGTGGAAACCGAAACTTTATGTTTCGTTTTTTATGGGAAAACTTTTGAATGGAATTAGGTTTACATTGGACCAAACCCTAATAGGCTCCCTTTTCCCCTTAGTATTCATACTTTGGATGTCGTATGTTTGAAAAGGAAACCTATGAGTTTCCTACTTTCTTTATGTAAGAGAGGGCATGATGGATATTATCGCATAAAAATTTTTAGTTTTATACTTTTATTTTTAAATTATTAAAAACGAAAATATGTTTGTTCGGTTCGTTTATGTTCACAACAAACTCGTTTATAAGCTTGTTTACTTGGATCTTCTTTTCATTTTATTTTTTTTACATTTTAAATACTGATAAAGATAGAAACTAAGCTGAATATAAGGTGAACTTTGAAGTTCAAACTGTGAAGATTAAAAAGATTAAGGACTAATGGCATAATTTCATCATTTTTCTTTTCCTTAAAAAAAGAGTAAAAATAGAGTTTTGGTTGTCAAGCATTAAACAACATTAATCATACATGTTCATGAACATTAAATTAATTTGTTGGTGGACGTTAAACGAATATGTTCTTAAACGTTAAATGAACGAACACAAATACCTTCAAAAATAAATAAACGAACACAAATAAGATACTCAAAATTTAAACGAATATGAACAAAACTTGAAAACTCTAAAAAATAATCAAATGATTACAGATAATAAATTATTCATTCAAACTCAATTAAGTTACGTCCCTAATTTTAAAAGCTAATTTTTTTTATATTAATATAAGGTAAGTATAAGGCAGTGTCTATTCAAAGAACACTTTTAACTATTTGATATTAAACGTTCACACCATTGATATTTATGATACTCTAATCAATTCGTCAAAAAATAATAATAATTTATTTATTATCGATATCATTTGATTCGTGATAAAATTGAAAGAATATAAAAAAAGATAACTAGTACAGCTAATATACAAAAAGTGGAAGCAAATTATTCGGCCCCACAAGTAAACAGTCAACTAGAAAATAGGAGACCAAGCCTAATTGGGCATTGGGCAACAAAATGAAAATCAAGGCCACTGCTCGATCCGGTCAAAGGTCATAACAGAGCCGGGCCGTCAAAATCATTGACTTGGCTTCCACCTTGCTCTATACCTCTCAATTTTTTTCCAATCACGTTGAAGGCGCCGCACCGTACGGGACGGTGGTTTTTTTCATTTTGAGTTTTTCTTGAGTTAATTACATCATATGTCCTTAGAGTATGACCCTTATTTTAAATTGATGCACAATATTTTAAATAATTCAATTTAATCCCTAAACTATGACTATAATTTTAAATTAGTCCTTCAACTTTCCAATATTGCAATTTCATCCCCAAATATAACATTCATTCTAAATTAGTCTCCAAACTTTTTAACATTCCAATTTCATCCTAAACTATGTGTATATACTAATCACATCCTTTGTTGATAAAATCATTAGACTAAGTTATATTATTATATGTTTGGAAAAAATTTAGGTTAAACTATGGTTGAAATTAATTATATATTTGGATGAATTTGGGGATCAAATTGAAATATTCAAAAGTTTGGGGACTAATTTGGAATAAGAGTCATAGTTTTAAGGATGAAATTTTAATATTTATAATTTTAAAAACCAATTTAAAATGAAGGTTATATTTTAAAGACATATAATGTAATTAACTCTGTTTTTAAAAAAGAGAAGTCAAACTCTTTGTTGACCAAATATTGAAGAAAATTTTTTGTTCTGAAAATGCTCACCTACTCCATTTTTAGATACCTATAGATAAAAACTATACAAATTTTTCACATTAAATTTTTTATTCATAAAAATTGATTTTTATTGATGATGATACGAGAATTATTAATCAGTCTCTTTTATCTCTTTTTATTTTTTTAATCATTTTACTATTGTTTTTCTAAATTAAATTTATCAACACAATTTCAGTTGGAGATTATTTAAGTATCTTATTATTTTATATTTATTTTTAATTATTTAGTTATTTTTCTCATGTCAATAAATATTCATAATTATCTCAAATATATCATTAAGATCAATTTTTATTATTGGATGATATCAAAAGAATTATAATTCCACGAACTAACTTATTTTAGTGGCTAAAAGAACTGTTGTTATTCTTATAGGTCATTGGTTAAAACACCAACTACTGCAAGGATAATTGTGAGTTCATTATTAAATGATTTTGAAATCACCTTTAGTAGGTGACCAAAATGTAACATCAAATATGATTTTAAAAAAAAATAATTGGGTGACTAAAACCATGGATGGACTAAGGGGGTGTGGTCGCACTCCCTAGAAATTTTAAATTCCGCTTATATATTAGGTGTTTTCTTTGTACTTAATATGAATTATTTGATTTCGCACCCCTTAATTTTTTATATTCACATTCCCGACAAAACTCCTACATCTCTCCCTGACTAAAACGAAACAAAAATGATAATTGGGTAATAAAATGTAATTTACCCTAGTTTAATTAATTTATCTTAAATTTTATAGACTATTTCAATTATGAACTGATTAATATTAAAGATTTGAACAAACAACCAGTTTGTCTAGTGGGATGAGGCACTAGGTCCCTTAAGCAAGGTCAGTGGTTCGAATTTTGACGTTTGCAAATGGAGCAAACTGAGTTAAGAGGATCGTCCTAGCGTCTACAGTATTCGATCTGAATTAATCGGACAACAGATTGAATACCAGTGAGGGTGAAACATAGGGTGAATTGCCAGCTGTCAAATTAACGATCTATCTCACTTAACAATAAAAACAAATTCCATAATTCTAAACTCAGATTAATTATTTCGGAATAAGTTATTTTCAGTCCCTAAACTTAATTACATATTTTCAATTTAATACTTAAATATTTTTATCTATATTAATTCCAAAAGTTGATTTTTATATTTTTAATAATGTAATATTATGATATTGTAACACATTGTATAATATCAAAGTGTCATATCACCATAATAACTAAAAATATTAGTGAAGTTGCCTAAGTAATTAAATGGAATATTATTTTTTTAGAAAATATGGGTTCGAGCATATGTATCTACAGGATGTGTACATTGTCAATAATTAAAAAAGATTTTGAACATATACTCCATATAATCATCTCATACTATTAAAAAGAGCGAGCGAAGTTGTTAACTTTAAAGCTAACATGAATATAAAATTAAGGATTAAATTGATAAAAATTACCACTTTCAGGGAGTAGAAGCTGTTTTGTCCCGAGGAATTATTATCTTGTAAATCCAAGGTATTGGTCTACGTTCCAAACCCTATTTTATAGGCGATTCCATTGCACCGGTGAAGACTTGTGACACTTGACAACATATATTTACTCCCGTTTCTCTCTTTCAACGCCATCTTACCACCATTTTCTTCTCTTTCTTTCTTTTCCCTTACACTTCTTTTCATGGACAAAGGATGGGATCTTACCCTTGATTCTACTTCTTTTTCTAATCTGTTTCCAGACAAGACCAGTTCCAATACTAAGCAGCAGCAGCAGCTAGACATGTTTCAGTTCTCCGTTTGTTCTTCCACCGGGGAGGACTGCCATGGAATAATCTCCTCCTCTTCTCCTTCCTCTTACGAGAACCGGCGGGTCGCCGTCGATGAGGTTGACTTTTTCTCCGATTATGTTGGGGATAAGAAGAAAATCAATGCTTTGACCGTCGTTAATGTCAAGGAGAGGTTTCATGGCGAAAGCGGTCCGGGCTCTGCGTTGGATGTTAATGTAAGCGTTCTTTTCAATGGTTTAATTCTACTTTTAGTCCCTATTATATACAAATTTTGTGATTTAGTAACTGAATAATTGTTCTTTTCTGTATTGTTTCAGGTGGCACAATTACAAGTGGAATTGAGACGCATGAGTGCCGAGAACCAGAAGCTAAAAGACATGGTTACTACTGTTAATAACAATTACACTGCTCTCCAAATGCGTCACGCAGCCTTAACGCAACATCAAAGAAACCGAGGCGGAGCCGATGAGATTGAAGAAGAAAACCGAGGAATCCATAGAGAAGAAAGCCCGGAATCCAACAAAGCTCGGAAGCTGAATCCGATGAAGCCAGTCGATAAATCCAGTACTGAGTCTACCATGAGAAAAGCTCGTGTCTCTGTCCGAGCTCGATCAGAAGCTCCCATGGTATACATATATATATATGTGTGTTTAATCCAATAATTGTAAGGATTTAATCTGAAATTTATTGTTGAGAACCTAATTGATATACAGATAAGTGATGGATGTCAATGGAGAAAATACGGACAAAAGATGGCAAAAGGAAATCCCTGCCCTCGAGCTTATTATCGATGTACAATGGCAGTTGGATGTCCCGTCAGAAAACAAGTATGTTTCAATGTTCATTGAACATAGGTTTACTTATGTCAAATTAAATTAATGGATTAAACTTCAAACTTTGCATAATAAAGGGACTAAAAAAATAATTAAACCTTCTATCTAGATTCCGAAGTATGGATCTAATTTGAATGATTTTTGGTGTAATTCCCAGGTTCAACGCTGCGCGGAAGATCGAACAATCTTGATAACAACTTACGAGGGGAACCACAACCACCCACTTCCTCCAGCTGCCATGTCGATGGCGTCGACGACGACTGCTGCGGCCACCATGTTGCTCTCAGGTTCAATGCACAGTGCCGATGGGATCATGAACCCAAATTTGCTCGCAAGAGCAATGCTTCCATGTTCTTCGATGGCAACGATTTCAACTTCGGCTCCATTTCCGACCGTAACACTGGACCTCACTCACTCACCAAACGCTCTGCAACTCCAAAGACCGACCACACAAACACAATCGCCTCAAGTATTTGGTCAAGTACTATATAATCAATCACAGTTCTCAGGCCTGCAGTTGTCTCAAGACGTGTCTTCTTCGCAGTTGCAGCAGCCTCAGTTAGCTGACAATGTGTGTGCTGCTGCCACGGTCGCCATTGCGAACGACCCGAGCTTCACCGCCGCGCTTGCGGCCGCTATTACCTCCATCATTGGTGGTGCTCACCCGAATAGTAGCAGCAAAGCTTCCAACAGCAACAACAACAAATATGATACCACAAATAGCAGACAATAATAGATTAGGACTCTTAGTTATATCAAACCATTGTTATTGGTTTTTGTTTTTCCATGTTTTCTCATTGGGGGAGGGTTAGAACTTAGAGAACATGTTCACAAATTTCATTCTTTCTTATTACTGTTTCATTTTTCATAGATTTATAGTTGTTTTCCATGCTTCGTTAGAATTCATTTCTTTTAACATACAGCATGTGTATTCTTTCATATGTATGCATGCATGTTAGTTCATGTGCATATCATCTATGATTCTATATATAAGTGTACTTCATAAAGCATAGTACTAAATTGCAGTTGCGATCGCGGTTGCGACTTCAATGTCACAGTTGTGAATATTGTGAATATTACGACACAATTTATTTCTTAAAAATAATATTGGTTTTATATTACAGATTTGGTTTGCGATATTGCAGTGACCTTGAGAAATTTTACGATAAGATCGTTACACTGACTTGTGACCACAATTTAGGGTTTGTTTGTTTAGCTGTAATTGGTTTTTCAGAAAATGAATTACTGGAATTTGAATTACTAGAATTTGAATTACTGGAAAATGAATTACTGAAATTTGAATTCTGGAAAATAAATTACATTTCTGTAAAATGAATTACATTTCTGGAAAATGAATTACATTTCTGGAAAACATCTGGAAAACGTTTTATGATGTTTGGAAGATGTTATTTAAACATTTTTTCGGTATATTTTAGTGAAATAAAATTTTATAAATTATATTAATTATTTATTAAAGTAATAGTACTATATTATATTTTAAAAATATTAATTAGTATATTTTAATATCTTTACTAAAATATTATTGAAATATATAAATAATATTATTCATTATTAAATATATAAAAATTTATTATATATTATTAAAATAAAAATATAATATCTTATATTATAATATAATTGATTATTTTATATAATATTAAAAATATAATATTATATTATAAATATTAATAAATATTTTTAAATATTTTAATTAATTTTGATGAAAATTAAAATATTTTTATTGAATGAAAATTAAATTTTGAAAATGAATGAAGTCATTTACAGCATTTGAAGGAAAATGTTTCCGGAAAATACGTGAAACAAAACGGGAAAACGGAAAACGAATTACGTGAAACAAACACGGGAAAAAATTTTCCGGAAAACGAATTACGTGAAACAAACACGGTAATTCGGGGAAAACCAATTCCGTAATTCCAATTACGGGAAACAAACAGACCCTTAATACAATGTTAAAAAATATTAAAAGTAAATGACATAAAACCCTTAAAATCTTAAAATTAGTATAATTATCCTAGATAAATATGCAATTTTATTATTTTATTTAAGTTTAAAGTATAACAAAAATTGAGTTCACCTGATTTAATATACTTTAAAATTAATAAAATTTAAATATATATTTAGAATTAAAATTAAAAATTATTTTTCTATAAGTAAGATATAATATTAATCTATTTAAATATTTGTATTCGTATCATTATTCGAGTTTTCATAAAAATCTTATATTTTAAAAATTAAAATATATAAGTTTTGATGAATTCATTATATGGTCATATGGATAGGTATTACACAGATTCTTTCTCTCATTAAGATTTCACTTTCATTTGATTGCTTGAAGCTCAAGCAAGCCTTTGCAGAACCAGTTCTGGACCTGTGGTGATATCCTTATAAGCTACCCTTTCGGAATTTGATGTTGGCTGTGGAAGCCTTATTACAAAAGCTTGCTTGCTTGCTTGCTCCGACCCCGGCAAGCTCGAGCTTCACACACCCTCCGGTAGATACCCTGTATGCAGCATTAGTTACTTCGATCCTCATATTCTCTTGACGGATCCATTTATGTGGAATTGCCGTGACGGCAATAACTCCTGTCCGACAAGACCTTCAGCCTTGACACAAGCACGCATTTATCCATGTCCCCTGAAAATGACTACCTCTTCTTCAACTGCAGCAAGGATCATGTGATCGTCGAGCCGAAGCCTAACTTCTGTCGAAGGTTTCCCGACGAGTGCGGTTCTTCATGTGATAGCGGTAGTTATCTTTGCAGGCATTTAACTGAATGTGCCACCCCAGTTCGTGGTAGTTTTTGCTGCTCGTACAACCCCAAGTGTTTTGGAGAACTGTTGGTGCAACTGCAGATTCTCCATATAACCAAGTACTTGAATATGAAATTCTGGTCGATTTCGATGCTCCGGTAACTACACTCTGCCTCCAGTAGTCCAGTGTCAGGATCCATATATGGGAGCCGGAACATGCGGATTCGATATGAACTTCCAGTGTCAGGTACGTTTTTCCTTTTTGAGCTTTGATTGCAATGAATTATCTGACTAGATTTTTGTCAATCATTGAATGCTTATATGTTCTGAAGACCATAACATTTCAAGGCACCATAGGACAGGAGTCATTGCAGGTTAAATTTTGAAAATTTCGGTCTAGCGTTTAATGATTTCTATGTAATGTACTTAGTATAAGGAAAAATGAAGATCAGGATTTCGACAATTCCGTATTGTTTGCAGGGACTGTAACTGCGGTTAAAGCTGCCGGAGCCATAGGAATTGGGATCAGCATTTGGTTCTTGAAGAAAGTATGAGCTAAAGCGCCTGTAACATGTGGGGTTCAAAGCAATGAGAGTAGGCTTTTCTAAACAAGTCTAAAGAGTGTAAAAACACAGTGAAAACCAAGCCTCAACCTTTATTATTTTCTTCCTAACTAACCATATGTTTCTTTATACCTTGAATAACACAATTACAATGCTTTTGGTAATCAAAAGTCGAATCGAGGAAGAAACAAGATACGACTAAACTAGTTTTACTGTCTTTTTTCCTTTTCTTTTATAGCATGCATGGTCTGTCAACAAGACAATGTAAAGGACCAGCATCAGATGTTAAATCAGGTACCATGTATCCTGGAGCAACAATGAATGCTTGAGCCATGGTGTAAAGAGGATCGGAACTTCCATGGCCCGACGGAACGAAATAAGCACCGTTTATAAACACATCTCTCGAACTCTGCCATCTCCAACTTTCCCAATTATTTGTTTCTCTCTTGGTAACCTCTTTCGACCCCGGATCATCGGAGGCTATGAAGTAATTTCCTTCGCTGAAAATGGTTGGATTAGCGCTGCCGCCGATGGCATACATCTTCCATTCATCGTATCGGTTGTTGGCAACATGAGCATAGCCTATCCGGACCCTGTCACGGCTATCAACTTACATCTATAAATCAGATCAAATGGCCACAAATATGGTTATAAACTTACCTTGGCATCCGCTCGATAAGTCCCTCCCCGAACCGGTTGAAAACTACAGTAACTTTCATAACTTCATCGGCGATAAAGTCGTCACTGTGGCCTAACAACATCACCTGCAATTTGGGTACAATCAATAGGTTAAAAGACAACAACGAAATCCATGACAAAAAAGGAAATCGAAATCAAAATGATGACTTTGTCATGTTCAGCGAAATAGTTATTAGAGATCGTGACATCGGTTGAAGCATGAATGACATCGATAAGTCCATCCGTCGAACTAGAGAGATAGCAGTGATCAATCCAAACGTTGGAAGAGGAATAAATGCTGATTGCATCCCCATCGCTGCCTCCGCGTTTCCCTACATACGTCGGGGAGTTCCGAATTAAACCAGCCGTCCCCGGCTTGCAATCATGTATGCTAATCCCATGGATGATAACATCGGTAACCCCATGGATCGTTATGCAGGGTCCGTACGCAATCTCAACGTTAACTCCTCTGCCATCGATGGTCTTGTAACTATTGACTATGAGTTCATTTTTGAGCGTGATAACCATGTCGGTAGAGAAAATGATCCAAAGCGGACTCGATTGAATAACACCGAAACGAAGCGTGCCGGGAGCAGGGTCTACCGGATCATCATAAGGGTTGGTAACTAAATATATCGGTCCATATTTCCCTCCTATCGATGCTTTCCCAAAGCCAACGGAACAATCGGCCAATGCCTCTAGGTTGGTAGCCCAGTTGATGGTTCGCCAACACGAGTCGATGATGTTCATAAGCTTCATGGAGGCGGTGGTGGAGGTATTGTATGGTATGAAGGTGGAGGCGTTGCCATGTGGGGATGAAAAAGCTAATTTAAAGAGAAGAAGTGAAAGCAATGGGAGAGAAGTGAAGGGAAGGGAAGCCATGGACTAGTGAGAATTAAAGTGAAAGATGTTTATAGGAGAATTGTTGAGTAGGTGACCCACACGATTTAAGGTAGGAAAAAAGATAGTTTTTCTTTTAGTTGAAAGTAGAATTTACATGTTGTACAAAACATGGTCTCCTTTTCTTCAAATGGTCTTGTTATCTGTTGTTTTGTTTGAATGATAAGCTAATCTTGGTTTCCCAGCAGAATTACACACAACACAAACATTATTATTATTATTATTATTATTATTATTATTATTATTATTAGTGAGTATTCAATCGAGTCGAATGAAAAAAAATCAAATAAACTGAAGGGTAAAGTTCATAAATGGTCTCTCGGGTATAGGGTGTTGTTTTATTGAGTCCTCTAACTATTAAAAGTTACAAAATGATCTATTGAGTATAAGACGTTTTGTTGAGTTCCGATTATAAAAATTACAAAATGATCACCCGACTATTCATATGTTTCAAAATCATCCTTTTCCATTTAAAAAATGACACACATCTAAAACCTACTGACTAAGATATGATAAACTCATATTTTAATGATGTCTACTAGCACTCTGTTACAAAATATAGTTAAAGTGAATCTGAGATCATATTTTATCATATCTCAGTCAACATGTTAACGTTCATCTAAGAAGGTCACCAATTTTTAACGAAAAAAATGAGTTTGGAACATATGAATAGTCAGGTGACAATTTTGTAACCTTTAATAGTCAATGGACTTAACAAAGCAACACCCTATAGTCGATGATCATTTATTTACTTTACCCTGAATTGAATTTATAAGTATTATTTTATCATTTAAATTTATTTAAAAGAATTTGAGTTAAATCAAGTTTATATATATTGATTCAGTTAAGTTTATAAAATCGAATTGAATCAAATATATTTGTTTAATATTCTATTTAAATTTAAATGTAATTATATATAATGTTATGATGTTAATGAGTTTTAATTTAAACGTCTCGTTAATAATATACGATATATATATATATATATATATATATATATATATATATATATATATAATTTTTACATATGTTAGTAAGATTTATAGTATTATTTAATAAATTAAAATCTTCTAAAATTATACAATATAATTATAATATTATTTTTTAAAATTAACTCTTAAAAACAAATTATTGATGGAAATATTAAGAATCAAAGAAGTGATATAAAGAAAGAATTTACATAAAATTATAGTTAGAAAATTAAGTTGAATAAAATATAAAGTTGAAGGGATAAATTAAAAAATAACAAAAATTATTAAAAAAAACAAAATTAAAATTAAACATAAGTCCTATGATATGTATGTGATTTAAATTTAGATAAAATAAACTTAAGGGTAAAGTATATAAATAGTCTCTGAATTTTTAGGGCATTTAAATTTTGGTCACCTAACTTTTGAAACTTGTAATACAATCATCAAATTTTTAGTTTGTTTTTAGTAAGGTCTATATCGTTACCTCCCGTTAGTTTTAGTTTATGTGGCACTTAACTCTTGTTAACCCCCTTCTTATCTTTCTTATGTTTCTTCATAACCAACAGCGGACGAAGGAGGGACAACGACAAGGAGGCACGACCAACTAGGTTTTAGCTGAAACAATATGAAGACTCCAACGGTGGTGACGGTGTGGCGAACCGATGGCCTAATCAATAAAAAAACGACGAAAATAGAAAAAGGGCATTAGGGTTTTCTGATGAGATTTAGGGCCCTTTCCACGACGAACGGAGGTGAGTCTCGGCAAGTGGTTAGCAGGGTTTTAATCGAAATACGGCGGTGCTCCTATTGATATCGGCGGTGACTGTTACCAACGACTAACGATGAATATCGGGGATGGGTGTTCGAATAGTCTTCTCGTGATTTGGGACGAAAGGTGGATGGAGAGTATGAATCGAGGGTTGAGGTGTGGTCGAGAGGCGACGTCGATAACGATGGTGATGGCGGTGTGAACCATCTATCACCATCGTTGACCGGAGGTATGTGTGTGAGAGAATAAGAAGAAGAAGAAGAAAGGGTTAATGAGAGCTAACGACATATACTTTACAGAAAATGAACTAAAAGATTGATAATTGTATTGCAAGTTTCAAAAGTTAGGTAACCAAAATGAAAGCGTCCTAAAAATTCAGGGACTATTTATATACTTTACCCTAAACTTAAAATGGAAAAATAACTAAAGAAACAAAGCATTTAAAGATTAAATTATATAAAAATAAACTATTTAGTTAAAGACAATATTATTTTATTTTTTTATTATTTAAATTTTATAAATTCAATAAATTTAAAATCTATTTTTTTTAAATAATTTAAATAAATCGAAATTAAAAAAAAATATTTGTAGTAAAATAAAATTTTGCTCACTCTCTACGTAGTACAAAATCATCACTATTGGCATGTCACAAGCAATACAACGCACCGTATTCCCCACAAGGCTAGAACACATCGTTTGGCTTAATCCTGACGCTGAACTGAGCGAAAGGGTGGAAAAAGGAAAAAGTTATGATGAACAATCTGGAAGAATCCAAAGGCGACAACAGCCCACAACATCAACAGGAAGAAATGGCAGCCTCGTCGGCGGCGATGGACGGAATAGCAGCATCGGCTCTCGGATCAGTTATCCAGAGAGTCCACCAGGCTGCCGAGCGTTGTGGTCGTGAATCGCAGCGCATCCGCGTCGTTGCTGTCAGTAAAACGAAACCCGTCTCCCTCATTCGCCAAGTCTACGACGCTGGTCATCGATGTTTTGGCGAGAACTACGTCCAAGAACTCGTCGAAAAATCCCCTCAGGTTCTTTCTTCATTTCCTTCAAAAAAATCCAATTTGTCTTTTTTTTTTCTGGTTTCCATTTTGGAAGTGATAAAGCGCCGAAGTAGTGAACTTTGCAATTTCAGCTTCCGAATGACATAGAGTGGCATTTTATTGGGAATTTGCAAAGAAATAAAGTGAAGCCTTTGATTGGTAAGCAGAGCTGCTTTTTCTTGTTCTAGTAAATAAAACAGATAGAGGATTAATCCTACTTTCTTTATGAGTTATCTATGTATTTTTTTTCGTTAGGAACTTTTGATTATAATGCCATGTTTACATCTTAGTTTATTACTATTTTTAGCTGCCCTTGTTTCCATGGATATTCGAAATTGAACTTTGACTTCAGTTGGTTTTGCTTGTAATGGTGGAGGGAAATGTGTGTTGTGTAACTTTACTTATTATTCATTGTTATGCAGCTGGTGTGCCAAACCTTGCCATGGTGGAAACCGTAGATGATGAGAAGGTAAATCAAGGAGTTATAAAATTCTCTGTTCATTTTGATTTAGTATAATGCTTAGGGTTGCTATAAAGTATTCCCAAAGTTTGCTGACACAATTCAAGAAAAGTTTTTCCCCCGCTTAATTTATTCCTAATTTTGAATCTAGTTTTAGCGAGAATGGCCGATATGATTTTGTTTTGTCAATCATTATGTAATAGCCATTGATAATTGATCGATAGTGCCACGAACAGCAATCATATATTGGTCGAATATTTGTGTTTCTTTCTTTATTATTAGTCATTACTGAGCAGCTTCGTTATTTTGGGCCAGATTGCAAATCATCTGAATCGTGCGGTTGGAAACCTTGAAAGAAAGCCTTTAAAAGTCTTAGTCCAGGTTAATACCAGTGGAGAAGAATGTAAGTATATTTCTATCGTATTACCACTGGAATATAATGTTTTTAGTTGAGTTGCATTAAGGCTTCCACATTCAAGCTTATTGTCATGACTTTGTACTAGATAAAACTGGTATTGTTCCTTTAGCTTCTAGTTCCGTACCATGTTCTATCAATATGGCAATTGGAAATAGAAGACGTAGTCCATTGGGGCTACGTATGCTGTTAGATTAGCTCAAGTATATTTGCCGACAAATAAGTTGCCTTTATCAATTGTTTGGAATTCGTTTTGATACTATTCCCCTGCATCATTTTATTGCAGCGAAATCCGGTGCCGAGCCTTCAGCTTGTGTGGAACTTGCGAAACATGTTAGTGTGAATTGCCCAAACCTTCAATTTGGTGGATTGATGACAATTGGGATGCCTGATTATACATCAACACCGGAGAATTTCAAGGTGGTTGAACTTCTTACCTTGTTTTATATGTACTTTTCAATCTTTAATTTTTTTCTTACAACATTTCTTTGATATAACCAGACATTAGCAAATTGCCGAAGTGAAGTCTGCAAGGCTCTTGGAATACCAGAAGAACAATGTGAACTGTCAATGGGAATGTCTGGGGACTTTGAGCTCGCTGTAAGGACTATTTTCATTTTGCCATCTAGAAAAGGAAAATATTGGACTTGTAACAAATTGGCTTTGTCTTCACTTTAGCACTAGAACATTGTACAATGTTTATGCCTTTGCCACATGTGCACAAATTCATGCTAGTTACTCGAGCTCGGGTGCGTGTCAGATATGGGTATATTTGATTTTTTTGAAGTGCTAGACACGGGTACCTAGAAAGAAGAAGAGTTGAAATAACACCCATTGTTTTTGTGATGGATTTTCTCATTGTCCTTGCAGATTGAAATGGGCAGTACCAATGTGAGAGTTGGATCAACCATCTTTGGGGCAAGGGAATATCCAAAGAGAAAATGAAACAAAGCTTATTCTTACGAGGTGTGTGCACATGCAACACAATCCTCAGGCTGTTATTTTCTTACGCTTGGTTGATGTGGTTAGATCCGAGAGAAACCTGAAATACAGTGATTGATATTAAAATCCATGGAACTTGTTTATTCCATCCAAATAATGCCAATAAATATGTAATAGTTTGATCTGAAATTTGAGTCTTCTTGTTCAAGTTAACCTAAAAATCAATATATCTCATTCATTACAAGGGAATTCAATTATAAATAAAGGTATTCTCCATATAATTTGTATCATCTATCATTCAGTAATTGAAAGCATTTACTCTAAAAACACTTGTTCTTCCTCTTGGTCCTTGATGCCTTTCTTGGTAGTCTTAGTTCCCTTTTATGAGATTTTGCATCCGTTATTTTCTAAGCGTTTTGGAGAGTTTAAGTTCTCATGGTTAATTGGTTTAATTTTAATTAAATTGATTAATATTTTTCTTGTCTTATGTTATCAGAGTTGATTCTTCATTATTTGATTTTCATATAGGTAAGATGGATCATTCATGATAGATAGATTGGGACAATACAAATTATAATAAATAGATTACATAAAAAATTCATTTAATTATCTAAAAGTATATATAATATATTCATTTCGTATGGAAAGAAAAATAAATTAAAATGCTGTTTTTATTAGAAATCTCCTGTGATTGTCCTTTTTAGACATTTTCTTTCTAAAAAAAATATTTTTAAAAAATAAAACACGTTATCTTTTCAATTATTTACAAAATGCTTAATACATCGTTTGTTCTCTAGCATGTTTTTTTTCTCTTCATTTTTATCCTTATTTTATTCTCTGTCTATATCAAGACTTTAAACAGTAACTGTCAAATAATTTAATCTTTTCGTGTTAAAAAAAAACTTAATTTTATATAAAGCTCGTTATCTAGTATGATAAATTGACTTTTATGAGTAACATGTGTCGTCTGTATAAAGAAATTATCTTTTAACAGGATGGATTTTAAATTTGAAATAATAAAATATGTTTTTTTAAATAATTGAAAATGGAAGTATTTCTCAAAAACATTAAATGTCAGAAAGAAAAAAGACCTCTGAATAAAGAGTAGCAGATTTAAGGGTAAACTACATGTTTAGCATCCCAACTACCACTTTTGTTCCGTTTTAGTCACTCAACTATTATTTTTTAAAATTATACCTAATGCTATATTTTAGTTTTATTTTGGTCACCTACAGTTAAAATATCAACAAAACTAATGATGTGGCATTACCTTATAGTGACACGTCACAATCACCATTAATTTTTTAACGCTAGATGATCAAAATAAAATCAAAATGTAACGTTAGATAGGATTTTGAAAAAATATATAGTTGAGTGACCAAAACGGAATAAAAGTGATAGTTGGGTATTAAAATATAATTTACCCTCAGTTAATTTAACGTAATCCCTTATCATCCAGCATGATAAAGGCTACTAAATTTCACCTCAAGTACTTGAGTTTTGGCCATAATTCAGCTCAATTCTACTAGTTCCAGAAACGGAAAACACATAGCTAGATTATCAGATAGAAGCATAAGGCTATAACATAATTGGTCAGTCGACTAGATTTGTTCGAAGCAGGACGTCGGATTCCAATGCCCGATTAAAATTAAAACTACAATGAACCATGAAACCATAGAAATGCTAAGCTAAAATTCTAGTCTTCGTCAAACCTTCCAAGACTCAACCTTTAACGTGCCAGGCAGTAGAATGAGTGATGAACAAGATAATACCCACTACCATCAGCACCACCAAATCCTTCAATTCCATAATCAACCGCCTCTCCTCACAAGGATCCCACGATGAAGTCCTCTTCACCTACATTTCCTTGCTCAATTCCAACACACTCCCCGATTCCCACACATTCCCCAGCCTCCTCAAAGCCTGCACTTCTCTGAACCTATTTTCCCTCGGCCTATCGATACACCAACACGTTATACACCATGGGTTTTCTTCAGATTCCTACACCGCGTCTTCTTTGATAATTTTTTATTCGAGATTCGGTAGCACGACGAATGCTCGCAAGAGTTTCGATAAAACGCCGAAGAGAGATGTTCCCTGGACTGCCGTTATCGGAGGCTATTGTCGTGGTGGCGACCTGGAAAATGCTTTTTTTATGTATAATAAAATGCGATGCAGTCTTGAGCTTGCTCTCTGGAGCATTGGGGTTTGGTTACGTGCAGGCTTTGCATGGCTGTGTGGTTTTACATGGCTTTGAATCGGACGTAACTTTGGGGAATTCATTGTTAAATGCATATATCAAATTTGGGAGCATTGGGGAAGCAAGAGTGTTTTTTGAATTTATGAACCAAAGAGATAAAACTTCATGGAATTCTTTGATGTCTGGTTATGCTCAGTTACGGAATGTTGTGGAAATTTTGCAACTTTTTTCTAGAATGAAGATAGAAAGTACTGGTCCCGATCACCAAACTTTTGGTTCTTTGATTGCTTCTGTTGCAGCACAGTGTAAACTTAATCTTGGAAGAATAGTGCATGGACAGACTTTAAGATGTGGGTTTGATTCAAATGCACATGTTGAAACAGCACTAATGGTTATGTATTTAAACTGTGGTAATACTGATGCTGCATATCGGATTTTTGAAGGGGTATCTGAAAAAGATGTGGTTTTATGGACAGCAATGATCTCCGGGCTAGTGCAAAATAATTGTGCAGGCAAGGCTTTGATAGTTTTCAATAGTATGTTAAAGTCAAGAGTAGAGCCATCCGCTGCCACCATAGCTAGTGCTCTTGCTGCTTGTGCACACCTTGGTGCATTTGGTTTAGGAACCTCCATCCATGCTTACATTTTAAGGCAAGGACTGACAATAGATATTCCGGCTAAAACTCTCTTGTTACCATGTATGCCAAGTGTGGTCATCTGGAGCAAAGTTGTGCAGTTTTCGAGAGGATGGAAAAAAGGGATTCGGTTTCTTGGAATGCAATAATTTCTGGATGTGCCCAAAATGACTATTTATCTAAGGCCTTGTTCTTATTCAATAAAATGAGGTCAACCCTCCAAAAACCTGATTCATTAACTGTTGTCAGTTTGCTTCAAATCTCTGCATCTACCGGTGCTCTCCATCAGGGAAAGTGGTTCCACAACTTTGTAATTAGAAATTGTCTTAGGCCATGCATCTTGGAGGATACAGCTCTGGTGGACATGTACTGTAAACGTGGTGATTTGGACTCTGCTGTTAAGTGTTTTAGGGAGATGTCACAGCGGGACTTAATCTCATGGAGCACAATTATTGCAGGATATGGTAGTCATGGCAAAGGGGAGACAGCTTTAAGCATGTATTTTGAGTTTCTGCACTCTGGAATGAAACCAAATAAGGTGATTTTCCTGTCAACTCTCTCTGCCTGCAGCCACAGTGGACTTGTTGACCAGTGTCTGAGCATATTTCACTCGATATCTAGAGATTTCGGTATTCAACCAGGAGTTGAGCACCGTGCTTGCGTTGTTGATCTCCTTTGTCAAGCTGGCAAGGTGGAAGAAGCTTATAACTTCTACAAAGAGAATTTTTTGGAGCCCACCATTGATGTTTTGAGCAGGCTACTCGATACCTATCGAGCAAATGATAACCTGGAACTTGCTGATGTGATTGCCCAAGATGTCATCATGTTGTAGCCTACAAGTGCTGGAAACTATGTCCAGATAGCACTGTTACGCTTCTATGAGTAGATGGAACAGCATGGGGGAAGCATGGACCCAAATGAGGTCTATAGGCTTGAGAAAACTCCCAGGATGGAGTTTTATTGACCTGCATGGTACAGTTACCATGTTTTTCTCTGGCCAAAACGCTCATCCGAAACATTAAGAACTGGTTGCTACATTGTCAACTCTGTGGTGGGAAATGAGTGAAGATGGTGTGAACTTTAAGATGAACAAAGTTCGTGATATGTTCTTCGACTAGAGGTTTTTATGAACAAAAACCGAGTACTCGATACTTTGGTCTGTAAAACAGATTCCAAAGCAACAGGTTAACTTTGGAAGATACGAGGGAACAATTATGCTTGGTATTATATCGACTGCCAGGTGCAGGTAATTCGTCCTTTTTCCATGTTACAGATACTTGACGCATCAATGTGTTGTTGGCCTCTTAAAGTCAACTCTGAGATGGTTTACAGAAAGTTTTTTTTTTTTTTTGTGATTAGAAAGCAGAAAGCAGAAAGCAGGAAACCAATTGATCATTTGTGTAGGATTCGACTAGATTGTGCGGAATACTGGACCAAAGACCGCTTAATTCGAAGAAATTTAAATGTTCTTGATTTCAGGTTTTGACTTGAATGAATTTAAACTCTCAGAATTTTAAATGTTCTTGATGGCTACTGTTTCAAACTTGTAAAATAACCCCCACTGGAAGGTTGAAATCATGCATCAGTTAAATATTACAGACAATATGATTGATGTTTGCTTAAGGTTTCTGACTGTTAAGTTTGGGTTCTTTGTGTATAGTGTCATGGTTCATTGTCCAAGTAAAAGAACTTGATTATTAGATCTGATAAGATATTTAGATAGATCGAATGATCATTGCAATATCTATAATAATAATTTATTGTAATTATGGAGCTGTTACACTAAAAATAATTATGCATATTGTGATATAAATGTCAACTTTTCCTAGCCAGTAAACATATGATCTAGATCAGAACTTCTCTAGTCATTTAATTAGCAACACCAATGTCAATGATGATTATCCAACTCCTGCACCGTGTTTCGATCTTCAGACTCTTCTATCTGCCTCTCGAAGCTCTGTTTCGAAAATAAAACCTATTTCTGCATATACAGTAGCGTTGTATATCAGCAAAACTTTAGCAGGCAATCTGCTTTCCACCCTAGTTGTTCTTTACAGGCTATCGGCTGAGAGTTAGGTGGTTCGAGGTTTTGTGATCAGCAATCATGACAAATTGCCTAACAATGACGAGGCAGCAAAGGGAGCAACCACCCCCTCACTCAAAAGGCGCATGGCAGCTCCTCTTGAGAACTTCCTGGCGAATAAAAAGCAAGGAACAGAGGTAGTGTTGACTCGACACCACTCTGTCCGGGATTCACTCTCGTAGTATATATGGTTGATGTCCTGTTCAAATAAGCACCACAGTTGGAGAAACGGTAAGATACAACATGCAGAATAATGGACCATGTGGAGATGAGCCAAAATGATAAACCTTTATTTCTCTGAGTCGGTTAGGGCTAACATCTGCATAGTTGAATGTAACAGGATGCCAAGCTTTGTTATCCATTTTTGTGGCGGACTGATTCCAGAGGGTATAGGTTAGCGATCTTTGTTCTATCTCACCTTCGAGCCCACTCATCTGATGAGTAAAAGACAAATGTAACAAAATCAGAAAATGTATAAAATCAGAAAATGTATAAAATCGAAGAGACTAATTTTACTTACCAAGAACAGGGTTAGAGGACAACTATTAAAAATCTAAGAAAAACCAGAAACTAGTTCAGGGAAAGAGAACATGTGGTAATGGGATATACTGATTCTTTACTAACCGCAAACAATGTCGGCACATAATGTTCATCTGGGATACAATTATGCTGTTTTTGAAGTTTCTGTGCAATCAAATGCAAGTCATCAATCACATTGAAAGAAAGAGTCTCGATCACAGTATCTGAAACAACGCTAAACTCGAGAGCATTTGCAAAACAAGAGAAAATACGACACCTATTGGAATCAGATCTCACTACTAAATCAATGTTTTAGCCCCTGAATCGACTATCAAAATGAACAAAAAGGCTCCTGTAATCAGCCTAATTGCATTCATTTTGGGAATTGAACTCACTCACGTTATTCAGCTTTCCTTTACTGGTGTCCAGAGGAGGGCGTCGCTGCAAACCAAGAAATAAATTTAAATTTCAGATTGTTGTTCCATATGATCCAATAGCTGATCCTAGCTTTAATGTGTTCGATAAACATTCACAAACCCTTGAGAAGCAATTTAGGAGACAACCAAGGAAGACCAAAATATTATCAAAACATTTATGCACCGATGCACAGCATGCCAAAGAAAGAGGAAAAGATCTCCCAAAGACATAATTTGCGTATTAGAATCGTTTCACAATGGCGAGAAGAGAAACTCGATTGAAAGTAAACACATAACATAATATAATCAATGGCATACCTACCTTGCAGAATTTCTTAAAGACTGGAAGAACAACCTCATCATCTACAACGGCTTCGGCATGGTTCCTTATTAAAGAGATCCACTGCAAATACAAGGCAATTGATACAATAAATGTGCACCGAAACTCATAGAAATGCACAATGATGATAATGGAAAAATGTGGAATTAAACCATTTGACTGCTGCAAGAAGTTGGCTTCTCAATCAAGACAAGAGCAAAGAAAAATTCGAAACGAGTTCTATTAAAGCTATTCAAAAGTCAGATCAATTCTTCAAAACTTCCTATAAATAACCTGAGATCCTTTTCTCCACTTGTTCCTTGGTATTGCTGGAGACATTTTGGGATGGTAACGCCCATCCTTTGAATCAAGAAAGCTGCAAAACAAGAATTTTCATTTCTTCAAATCAAAACAACAACTTGTTTAAAAACCATCATACAGCTTTTCCCCAGTTGTATAAAAATACAAAAGGAGAACAAATAAATGAAAAAGAAAATCAATCAATGCTTGGCACCTCAAGAATGAAAAAGGCCCGCCATCTACCTGTCCACGAAACTCCTAGGCGAAGCCATAAGATATCTATAGATATAGCTGAAGTTGTATAGAGGAACGCAACTGCATAAATATAAACACAACTTGCTATAAATATATATACACTTCGTTTAATGAATTATATAATATACACACACAAAAAACAACCATCAAGGCAAATTAGTTAAAAGGTACAGACCTGTCAGACAGAAGAACAAATCTCTGATTTGCAGGGTCCTCTAGAGCATTCGCAAGTAACAACCTTTCAGCTTCTATCATACTCGATTCTCCCCACGCTACCTGCAACGATTATTGATTTTACCCATAACTTTTTTTATTGAGCTTATCCGAATATTGTTCAAAAGATTCAAATCAGTTGACTACTAAATCACCTGTATGCTATCAGTTAATTGCCGGTTGTAAAAGAAATGCGTCCGAGAAGTCGACTCGTCGAAGACGAAGCCAGGGGCGGAGTGTATATAAATGGAGAAATTGGCCGTGTCAGCGTTCTGTAACAAAAGTCCCACATCAAAACAATTAGTAGTGAAAGTGGGGATAAAGGAAAGAAGTGTTTTTGGGACTGACCTTGAAGAAGCTGCTCCAGAGAAAATCGAGAGGGAGATTGAAGCGGGCAAGGAAGAGGAAAGCGATCTTAGGGGCACCATTAAAGTTGTTATAGCGAGGAATACGGGATCTCCAGCGCGCACGAGAGAGATAGTTAGTGGGAGAAGATATTTCTGGGGAGAAATGGAGGCGAAGGAGAGCACAGAAGCAAAGTGCGAAGGAGAGGAAGACAGCGAGTTTCCAACCAAACCAGATTACATGGCGGACCGGTACTGGAACGACGGCGGCTTTCTTCGACATGGTTTTTTCTCCGGCAACTAATCACTGCCTAACTTAAAAGTAAGACTCTATCATCTTCAATTCTTCATAAATATTAGGATCACTTGTACGATAGTCCAGTCATATATCAACAGGTATTAAGAAAAATAAATAAAGGGAAAGAGAAGAGAATGTGAGGGTTTTTAATTTTCTAGGACATGGATAGGAATGGACACATCATTTGAAATTTGGGTAAATTTTATCAGAGATTCCAAAATTATGCTTAGTTGATTTTTTGGCTAATAAAATTTTCAAAAATTACAAAATAATTATTATATTTTTCGAACTATAAAATTATAGGGTTTTTTGCAAATTAATCAAAACTTAGTAACTTCCATGGGATCATTGGGTAATTTTTTACAAAAGTTATAGGGTGTTTTATTAAACGGTAAATTATAAATTTAATAACCAAACTTTCTTATCATTCATATTATAAATGATCCTCTGACTTTAAGACATTTTTTTGTTGAATCTCTTGACTATTAAAAGTTATAAAATGATTTCTCAATTATAGGATGTTATTTTTGTTGAGTTCTTCGACTATTAAAAGTTACAAAATGATCACCTGACTATTCATATGTTCCAAACTCGTCCTTTTCCGTTAAAAATTTAGATCGTATGAAGTTAGATGTTAACTTATTGACTGAGATATGACAAAATTTGATCTCACAATTGTATAAGTTGTATTTTATGGATAGATTATCTATTTACATTATGTCTTCGAGTCAGTACCTAAAACGTTATATCATCGAGCCAATACTTTAAAGCAACAACGAATGCACTAGACATCATTAAAATATAATTTTATTACATTTCAATCAACAAGTTAACGTCTAGCTCAAGATGCCATCAATTTTTAAATGAAAAGAGATGAATTTGTAACATATGAATAATCAGATGACCATTTTTTAACTTTTAATAATCGGGAGACTCAACAAAATAACATCCTATAGTCGGAAGATCATTTGTATACTTTACCTTTTTTTATCATTTTGACCGTTTTCTTAATAACAACTTGATTACTAACCAAACAATCTCGATGGTTAAAAAATTTATTGTTATCCCTTGATATCTCATATTTGAACACCGCAGTGTATGTAGAGGCATGAGCTTTCATTGTTGCAATTTTGCACACCCAGATCATAAAGGTTACAAGTTACAAAATGTATCATCTACATACAAAAACATGTAATCCCAAATATCAAGCACCAATCCTATAGGGACCTGTCTTGTTCCTGAAAGAACAAACAACAAACAGGCGTTTTGATGTTCAAACTTCAGAGCTTACGAAACATGTTTGTATGATTTAAAACATGAATTACTCGCACCTGTACTCTTTGATACGCATTTGTAACTTGCCAAGTTGAATGGCAGAATAAGAATGTTGAACTCAAAGCTGTCTGGGATCTCTTGTGAATGTGGGCACGTATATGAATACTGGGTGCACGAGAACTATTGGATGCTGCCCGCCTTGGCGCTTTGACGATCCAAGATAACATTTAAGATCTTTCCAGGAACAAAGATTCTCTTTTTGATTGGTTTCCCGTCAAGATACTTCGATAGTTTCTCGTCTTGTGAAGCTAATGTAAAAGCATCCTCCTCTGAACATCCTTTTTCGACCTCGATTGTACCCCTGGTCTTGCCATTTATCTGGACAGGTAGTACAATGGTTGATTCTTTCAAGTACACAGGATCAGCCTGGCATTGGAGTATGAACAAGGTTGTGAGGTTATCACACTACCACACCCCTTCCTTCCTGGCCTATAGTAAGTGATTCGACGAATACGAGGTGTAAAAATAAATAAATATAAATCTGAACAGATACTTATACCTTAGGAAAAGCCTCGTATGATATCGAATCCGGATGACCGAGGCGAGACCAAAGCTCCTCAGCCATGTGAGGTGCATAAGGCGAAAGCAACAAGACAAACGCTTCAATAATGGCTTTTGGAAGTTTGTCCCACTGATGACATGAATTAGAAAAACACAAAATCAGATCACAAATGGGCAAAGACAAGCATCAAACAGAAAACCAAAGAATATTGAGGCAGAATTCTTCAAGACAAAAAAGTGATCTAACAGGACCTAACTAAAAAAATGTTAGATAATACTGAAAGCAAAAGTCTCGAAATAAAATGTTCCAAAAATTTTCTGTAAGTGTGAGCTTTTGCAAAGTAGTAGCTGAACAACTTATGTAGCTAGATGAAAAACATGTTCGACTTTGTTTAGGACCTGACAGATTGCACACTCTAGATTCAACATAAACCCCGCTAACCCAACGAGTCAACGACATCACTAACTAAAAGCAAGGAAATACTATTTCTAAAAGAATACATATCGAACACATCGAGAAGTGGAACTCATGTCATTCATTCTCTGTGTACCAAAATCAGTATAAGGGTCTGCCGTATATATAGTTAATGAGAAAAGGTCAAGCTCCATTTGCCCAATGAATAAAACCTTATACGCTGCATTGATGAACTCCATCATTGCAGAAATTCCAGTATTGAACCTTGTCCCTTCAATTTCCTCTGTCACCTGGTTAAAAAAAATAACAACCGATCATCTGTCAAAAAGCTAACAAGGAAGCTTATAGGTGTCAATATTCATGTTACTTGTACGGTCCTAAATTGATAAAATACCCTTTTGGATCACATTGAAACAAGACCCTCTTGGATCACATTTACATGGTTAATCAGATTTCCATAAGGTAAAAATAGAAAGAGAATATGACCTTAGTGATGCATTTATGGAGGGCACGAAGTTGTTCTGTAGTAGGTTCCTCATCAGTAACCAGCGTTCCATCTCTAAACACACCATGATGTAAAGGTGAGCCAACAATCAGCCTCCAAGTTCGTCCTAAAAACCGATGGACCCCTTCAATGCCACTGGTATTCCATGTTTTTGAGTCTCTATAAGAAAAACGCAACAGGCACCTTTTGTTGGGTTCCCTCTTTATACATAATGATTAAAATACTAAAATAAATTGAACCAACTATTACCGAAATGGTCCCATGAACATTTCATACAATCGAAGAGAATCCGCACCAAATTCGGAAACGACATCATCAGGATTGACAACATTTCCCCTGCTTTTACTCATTTTATGAGAACGTGCAGTCAATTGAATGTTTGGGTTCTCTTTCAACACAAAAAACTCCCCAGACTTCACAACCTACAGAAGGATTAACAAAAAGAATAACAAGATGAAATGCCAGAATTTATAAGCTCATCTTCAGTATCGTGATGAACAAAATAAGAAAGGAAAACATATTGAAACATATAGAAGAACATACTCTTTCCTCTGGAATGATTTCTGGAAGGTATTCACCTAACTCATCAGAAGAGTCTGCAGATATATAGTTGCCATCCGTGTCTTTGTAAACCGTATATTGAACCTGCCACTCCAACCATGAGAAATACTTCGATTGAACTATCGCTTTATTACGGACAAGAAAGTTTGCTTACTTCCCCAAGAATAATCCCCTGGTTTATTACACATTTGAAAGGCTCTTTGGTTGATACAACACCAATGTCATATAAAACCTGAAATATAGAATTAGAATGCCAAAGTATTAGCAATGCATAGAAATAAAATTAAAAGTTTTGATTTTCCAAAGGAAAACCAGACAATTCAGTTCATGCTCTTAGGCAGCCCGCAATCAAGTTAGGACTGCATGTCCTTTGTATCTCTACAGAAGGTTTCAGTCATAATCAAAACTTTACCCGTGCTGAAATAGGGAACAGTAGCTGAAAGACAACCTATCTTTATGTTTAGGCTCTAAAAATGTTAATTTGATCCTATTCTAGCCCAAAACAATCAGAACTGATACTTTAATAAAAATCCTGTCTCCGAAGGCAAGCTCGTTTTTCATCCAAGACAGCAACATTAAGTAGAAAAATACAAGAAAAAATGTTTTATCAAATTCTATAAACATTTCCACGTGAAGTTCTCTGTGGCTATCACATTGCAAACCGTACATGCATATTTACATGAAAGATAGAACACATACATACCTTGTGCCAGAACCTTGAATAAAGTAAATGGAGAACAGCATGCTCAGCTCCACCAACATAGACATCAACTGGGCTCCAATACCTAAAAGTAGAGATATGATCAAGGAAAGCAAAGAAATAAGGCAATAAAATATACACAAAAGACTCTGTCAAGTTCTTCATGAGAACTTGACAACAAAACTAGAAATTGTCAAAGAGAGAAAACTCATTATGTAAACAATTCTTATCAAACAATGAAAAGATGCCCTTACTTTTCTTTTGCCTTATCCACTATTTCATTGGGGTTTTTGGGGTCCATAAATCTCAAATAGTACCTGAACAAAGATGGAAAAAGTATGGGACCTTAACAATCTACCAACATATATGATTTTTTAATAATAACGACCACGTCAATTTCTCCATCAAGCCAACATAAATCAGCAAGCATTCTATTATATATCGACAGAGATTCCCAACTTTTCAGACATATTCTACAAATTCTAACTTTCATGTGACCTTTATCTTTCAAGATGATATCCTTCTTTTCTACCTTTTCATGCATCTAACTCATTTCCAAGAAAGAGATAGTGGTGGAAGTCAACTACAGATATGTATAATGATAAAATTTAACTTTTGAAGGTAATTACAGGTACTTTACCAGCAGGAACCAGCCCATTGTGGCATGGTGTTTGTTTCTCTCGTGGCAGGTTTCCCAGATGAAGGGTCTATGGTTTTAACCTGAGATAGATGAATGGATCTAAATCAATGCATGATTAGCCATATAACTTGCACAAATAAGAGGATGGGCTAAAATTGTACCCAAAAAACTGCTTTAGACAGTGGTGGTTCCCCTGTACCACTTGGAGTAAAATCATCCAATTCAGGAAGGGTAAGGGGCAGTTCAGTTTCAAGAACTGGAATGCTCTCATCACTATCTTCCAAGAAGATAACTGGGATAGGTTCCCCCCAATAGCGTTGCCGAGAAAAAAGCCAGTCCCTCAACTTGTAGTTCACCTAATAGATAAAACAAAAGTTTAGGCAAAGAATGT